CCTTCAACATCATCCTCTTGCCGGCCAGTCTAGTCCAACCAACACTGTCCCTCAGAGGGGCTGTTAATGAAGCCATAGTAGGTGGCGACTGGGCACATGTACCTGGACATATGTAAACAGACTCACAGCTGATAAGGCGACTCACTCAGTATCGTCTCCTTCCCAGCAAGTGAGGTCTCTGGTCAGGACTCTTGCACCATGACGACCAAAAACAACAACACGTTCCTACAAGAGGTCCCGAGTTCGATCCCCGGTGGATCCAATAATGTACACCTACCGGCTTAGCATCGGACTTGTCTTCCCGACTGGGTATGTCCCCCCAAGTCATATCAGAGTGGCAGTAGTACAGAGGGTCCTCCTCAGGGAACAACAAGGTGTTGCTCGACCCAGCCTCAGCCATTGAGGCTGCCACTATGATCGCTCCAATGAACTTCATTTCAAATACGATGCCAATAGAAGTCATTAACCTCATCGTTGGTCCAGCGTATAGCTAGGCTAGGCTGCATGAAACTCAGCGATACTCTCTTCCCGAGGACATCGAGTTTCGCCTGAGGCTAGCGTTGACAGCTTCTCTAGTCGCAAGTTTTCATTACCGACTCGTATTCCAAAACTGCTTAGTAGGTCGGATGAGAGGTTGGCCCCGAGCCAAGGCTGAGTCTTCCCGGCACTTCTATTATCATAGCAACTTCCCTTACCACTAGCGAACTCAAACCAACAAGAAAAGTAGAAACGTCACAAGTACTCGAGACTAGTATCCCGAATCTCAGAAGTTGCATAGTCTTCCGAAGCCACAATGTCGGCCAGCCGCTCTATATGCCGAGCCACTGCCAACAACTGCACACCGTCACCCATCTTCGACCGACTTGGCATGGACGATGATCCTTTACTAACCTGATAGGGGTGGAGTACGCTACTTCTCATAAACACTTTATATACACTCACAGATTTGCTCTGTCCACCTCCGTCGCCAACAGCACTAGCATCACCCTTAACAGCTGGTATTGATGCCTGGATGGTGACCAAACAGCGTTGTGGCACCAACGACCAGCCAACCTCAGGCGTCATAGTGGACAATACGAAGCGTGAGGCCTGAGGGTGAGGGCATGGCCACCACCATTGCGGCTGTCAGGTTACCTCCTCGAGGGTGGTCGGGGTAGTGTTCTGATCTGTAGCAGGCCTCATGATCTCCCACGCCGCCTCGCCCTTCTCAGCCAACACCTGTCCATCTAGACGACCATTGAAGAGTCGACATATGCGTACAACAACTCCCTGCGGGCTGATGCCTGACAGCTTCAACAGTCAAGGAACACAGCACAGAGCAGCTCACCTTGCCAGAGGGGTGACTGCAGGCCTGTGTCACCAACGAGCTCGAAGCCACTCTGTAGGAGGAAGGATCGTATGTCCACCGGCGACCCTGGACACTCGGTCACCGTTCGACCGTTCACCAGATACCTGAAGACAAGCAATTTCGTGGCGCGCGGTCACGAGAGAGCTCTCACTTCAGAGGAGTAGATTCCAGCGTTGAAACATGCTGGGCAAGTACCGTACCTGAATCAGCACCTGACGACAGAGGTCCCGGGTTCGAACCTACGGAGGGGTATTTTGGCGCCGCTGAACCGTAAAATGGTCTCTTCGCAACTGGACCTAACGCCCTCATTGGGAACATCGTATAGGACTTGTGCCTCAGTCTCGTGGACGGCCACGTTCATATTGCCGATGCCGTGCAAAGGCCTATACCTGAGAGATTCACCAGGTCAGTGTTGGAAAAGTATGTGTTCGCTTTCCCCAGCTGAGCGCTGAAATTTCCTCTCTCGTTATAGAAGTATACTCGCGAATTCAAATAGAAGTGAACAGAAACCAGTGGAATTTCCGAAGAGAATTTCTCACATTATCATCAACACATGTAACATAGACATACAGTATACTCACGTGAAGAGCTCAGCAACACTCCTACACGGCGACTTGACTTCCCTCATGCCTCCTCGCGTGATCAAGTCCCGACCGAGGGCTTCCGCACAATCGCCTTTCACCAAAACAGACAACTGCAACCGCAGATGCTGAACAGGTCGCTTGGGGGCTCCCGAAGTGGCCCCGTCCATGAAGACAACAACACTACTATCAATAGGGGCCCAGTGCTGTGTCGAAATCATCACACAAGGCCAACGGCGCCAATAGTATAAGTGCTGAGATTTCATAACACGACTCGTCTTGGCAGTGGATGAGAATATATGCACACGTGTTGGTGAAAATATAAAAAAATTATGGAAAAAATTTTAGCAAATACATGAGGAAATTACCATTGCACATGTTTCCACCCAAAATCGTGTTCCATAATTTTGTGAGTTCAGTTGAGGTAACC